CAATTCATTTGTTAAACACTACAATTTGCAAAGAATTTCAAGTAGTTAACATGAGCTTCAAGATAAAACAAAAATAGATTTGCCTGATATGGTTAGCCAGTAAGAAATTTTCCCTTCCAAGGACGAAGTATGCCTGAATAACTGTCACCCTTTGTGTAGTGGAAATAAATGCCTGCAGTGGGATGCTCGGTGATGGAACTTGGTGTTCCAATGGACCCATTTGGAACTTGAGCACCAATTGTGAACTTCCTTGCTACTTTTGATATTTTGGGAAGGATAATCTTCTATTGAGGGAAGTTAATGTGTATTGAAAGATGTTCATCAGCACCAATGACCACTACCACTAGATGCCCGCAGCATTCTTCTCCCAGTGTTTAATAGCCAAAGCTTTTTCAGACTTTGCCAAATGTCAAGGGATAGTGGGCAAATTGCCTGCTGTTGAGAACCACTGAGTTATAAGGACATGGATTTGTCTTTCGGCTACTTGCTAGCTGTCTGATAGACATAACTTTCTCAAGCTCCAAACCCCATTTCTATTTTCTGCACAGGGTGGGTATAAACCAGTTGTTGTTAGGACTAAATGAGACAGTGCATTTATAATATGTAGCAAGATACTATGTGTGCGTCTACTACATGTTATTTGCCGTGACTATTTTTACTATTTTATTTTTCTTTTTTATATTATTGACACTGGTATTTCCTCATAGTTCTAACTAGAAGAAAAAAATATAGATCTACAAAGAAAAAATGTTTCGCAAATTTTCTTTGATCCATTTGTACTTTAAGATGCAACCAAAAATTCTTATTTATGTAATTATTCATTTATTTTTGAGATAGGGTCTTGCTCTGTTGCTCAACCTGGACTACAGTGGGGCAGTCATGGACCACGCAGGCTTAAACTCCTGTGCTCGAGTGAGTCTCCTGCCTTGGCTTTCGAAAGCACTGGGATAACAGGTGTGAACCACTGTGCCTGGCCTGCATTGTAAAGTTCTTAGCCACACATCAGATTACTACTTTCCCTAAAACTACCTGTGCTGCCTGGCCTCCAATTGCACAGATGCCCTACCTACTTCTCTTTATGTATATTAAGGATAGCATTAGAATGAAAACAAATGTTATTAGAATTTTCAGTTCTCTTTTAATGGATTATTATCATTGTTATTATTTTGAGATGGAATTGCCCAGGCTGAAGTGCAGTGGCACCATCTTGACTCACTGCAACCCCCACCTCTCAGGTTCAAGTCAGTCTCTCACCTCAGCCTCTCATGTAACTGGGATTATAGGCATGCACCCATCATGTCTAGGTAATTGTTGTATTTTTAGCAGAGACAGGGTTTCAGCATGTTGGCCAGGCTGGCTACGAACTCTAGACCTCATGTGATCTGCCTGCCTCGTCCTCTCAAAAGTGCAGGGATTACAGGCATGAGCTACCATGCCCAGACTTTTAATGGATTATTGATACATATTCCACATCACTATTTTCTCCTAAAACATATAGTACGGAAAATTGTAGTCAAATTGGTATTTGCTTTCTATAATAAAATGATGAGCAAGGGTATCAACATGTAATTTACCAAAGAGGAAATTTAACTTGAAATATGTGGACAGAGATTATATTTCAATCTCAAATGAAGAAGTGAAAAAAATTTTTAAGTGCCATTTCCTACTAATTATCAAGGAAAATGGTGACAAAGGTATAACAAAATGGGCAGTGAACTGCACTGCTTTCCAGAGTTGAAATTGATATATGCCTTTGATATGACAATTTGTTCATTCCAATGCAGTCTTATTAAAGGGACCTGCTCAAACTAGCTATGTGGAGAACGCTGTGGTTGAATGCATATGTCTCCTCAATATACCCTGCTCTCCTTTTTCAGGGTCCTTAAATGCCTTCCTCCTTTATCCACTCTCTGCCTGGACTCCCAACTTCTCCTTAGCTGTTTAAACTAACAATCATTTGAAATGTGTAATCTTAGCAAATTACACCACACCTCAGAAATAAAATGTCTTCTATATACTCTTGAGTTGTACCAGACTATGCCACCCCATGTTATGTCTCTTTGACACATGGATTATTTTAAGCTAAAGGCCATTGAGAACCTGCACATGCACGAAAAGTCCCACAGAAAGGGCACAAGTTTTCCTTTAGAGGGAAATTTCTGTTTGTATAAATGTCTCCCACTCCTATGTCAGGAAGTACACTTAGAAATTTTTATCAATAAAGAAGGCACTTAACTCTGCATAACAAATTTTACTAAACAACTCTTGTTTACCATATTTTTTCCTGGTCACCTTCTCATAACCTGCCTTGTTCGCCCAGAAACCCAAAATCTTTTACTTTAGCCTAAGATGATATACAAGCCTAAATTCTAAATATGCCTTTGAGTTACTCATTTCTGGTAGTCCCATGTTTTATTTGCATGATTCACATGCTAATAAACTTCTGTTTGTTTTTCTCTTGTTGCTCTGTCTTTTGTTACAGAGTCCTAGCTGAGAACCTAGAAAAGTAGAAAAAAAAAATGGCTTCCTCCTCTGTACTCTGCTTATACAAAAATGGGATGAATGCAAAAAGACACATCCCTGAACCCTCTCTTGGGCCCTGAGAGAACGATCCAGTTGAGACCATCCCCTACTGCTCTGTGCCAACTCACAAAATGCTGGAGAAGGGTGGACTGGTGAGGAAGGAAGAGAGAGAGTAAAAAGAAATAAAGTCATACGTACCCAAGGTCTTGCAAGAGTCGGAAGCCCTGTGGAGGATTAGTAATTTTTTTCTTTAATTCCAATCCGTATAATTCTAATCAAATGAGGGGTGAGAGGAGCACACACGTGAAGAGTTTATTTTTACATTTCTGATAACACTAAACAACAGGAAAGAACCTGAAAGTCTGCGAGGAGGGGTGTAAATGAGAAAACTGTAAAGTGATCACTTCGTAGACCACTATGCTGTCATCACGAATGAGTTTGTGGTGCTCCAAAAGCAAACAGAAAATGCCGTGATCACATGTGAGATGAAGAAGGGTACAAAACTGTGTGTGCTCTGGCCACCATGCAACCCTATAAAATACAGATGGACAAAGACTCTCTTTTTAACCTAACTTTAGATAGACTCCTCTGAGTCCTCATTTGGAGTAAGCCTCACCTTTGGCCTAAAAATACTGTAGACTCTCAGCACAAATGATTTCATCCACCTACTTTTCCATTTCACCCTGAAAGACTTGAACAGACACTAATAGTTTTGAATACCTCAAAAAGCTGCTGAAGGAATTTAAAGTTTGTTCCAGCCAACACCTGACCATAGTCCCCTGATCTCCCTTTCTTAGAACATTTACTAAAAAGGGCTTAAAAATATGGATTTTGATTATGACTCCAAACCTCAAAGATGTCTTTCTCAAGGACCCGACACCATTTTTTCAAATATTCTCCTCAGGAAGGATGGGGCTCTGTCTCCTAGTCTCAGTAGGAGGATAGAATCCTAACTTCATCAATTGCCAGGAAACAGACACAGGTGCTCTGATCATATTTAATCAAAACAACTCTGTCATTTTTCCCTTCTCCAGCTCTGCTCAAGCCCCTGCTTATCCTGTTCCCTATTCTCTCATTCACCTTTTAAAATGGCCAGCCACTTCTGTACAAATTGAAGGTCAGTTCAACTATTCCACTAATATATCACCGATTAGAATCTATCCTCATCACTTTAATGTCTGGCTTTGTTTATCTTTGACACAACCAGTTGCTACAGAATGAAGCCCTCTATCACTGTGGCTGTTTTAGAGTGGTGGGATTATACCCATTAGAAATCAATAGCAAAACCGTTCGCTCTGTTTCTGAAAAGAACAATCCCTTCATATTGCCATGAATAAAAGTTTAACAAAACTTGACCGGGAAGAGACTCTGATTTATGATTTCTGCATTAAACCATCTAAGTACATCTGTTATGCACATCACAATAGTGACTATTTGGGTAATGATTTCTTAGAATCACAAGTGATATATAAATTTCCAGTGATTGAAGCATTTGGAGTGGTGTGAATGTGTCCTGGGTGATTGCCTATTATACTCAAATACTAGGTTTATGCAGTGGCCTTTGTTCTTTTGTTTCATGCCTCAGATTCTGAAAGTGCGATGCTGTGTGAGATCAAAGAATTGCTACCCTAAGAGGAATATATCTGCATGTATTACACGGTATTCTCTTGTATTTAATTTAGTGTTTTGCAATATAGCTCAGTAATGATTAAAACTGCCTTACAAAAAGTGTAAGAGGCAAAGAGTTTGCATTTCACTTCAAGTTCTGATATCTCTGCAAGGCCTGGAATTAGAAGGATTGATTCTGAAACTCCACATTTCAGCTCTCACCTTTGATTCGTCTCACACCCCTTGACGTGGAGATCTCTGAACATAACATGCATTTTTGGAATTCTATGGCTTTATTCTTCCTGTATGTTCTAGTGTCTAGCTCTTACCCCTCTGACTCTCTATAGAACTTTTCATGGCCTTTGAAGCCCAGCCTGAGCTTGACTGTTCTGAGGCAGCCTCCACGTCTACTCCCATCCACCTCCCATTGGCTTCTTCTTGTCTGACCTCTGCTGCAACAACAACAATTTCAGAAGTCACTTCTGCTGGTTCTGAGGCTTTCTGGGATTCTTCCTACACAGAACTTCTCTTATGGCAAGGGACATTGTATCCTTGGTGTCACATACAACTTCCGGCACAAACTAAGAATTCAACATGTCTACACGGGACAAAACAACTGAAGTTCTTATTGTCACCAGAGATTAGTTTACATTATAGATTATAATCAAGAGCTGAAATTTAACTTGTCTTTTATCTGATGCATACGTACATGCATGTGTGAATATTTCTCACGACAGAACTGTAAGACCATTGAAGTAAAACTCTATAAAGCTCTGAAAAATATATACAAGTCTGATCTCAGGCTCCCAATACTTCTGGACTGGAAGCACTGAGGTAGGCTGCATGAGGTGTGTAGACATGTCACTTACATTTTGCAGCTGGACATGACTCTTCACCAAGTTCTCTGACTTCGCCATTGTGCTGGATGCTTTGAGACTGTAGCTTTTACCATTTTGCGGCACTTTCAGCTGCTCTTGGATTTGTTTAGCTTGTTTCCTGTAGGCATAAATAAACATGTACAAACATTTGCATGAATTTATTTACCTCCTACTTTCTGGTTTCATTCATTCCTAATGTCTATATTTATTATTTGCTAAAGTTAAATAAACTCAGTTAACAAAGAACCCTTCTCTCATTTCCAACCCCACCAAAAAATACTTCCAATTTAGTGATAGCCTAATATCATCCATATTATCTAGGATTTCACACTCAATGGCACCCCGAAAGCAGACAAAAACTAGTGCCTTGCCCTGGCCGCCACAGATGCACGAAGTCTCAAACCCTGAGTTTTACCTGCAAAGAACTGGAAATGCTGTGAGAAAGTGACTAGAGGAAAACAATTAAGACTCGGGCTTAGCAGCTACATATGACATATTTGTAGAGTTACATTTATATTTGTACAATTCAAATATGTTTAGCTTAATTGCACAACTTGACTATATACTATAATGTGTATATTTTCTGTCTTTTACAACTTAGAAATAGCTCATTTATTGTTACCAATAGCCCAAATATTAAACATAGCCAGCTCTTAAAAAGCTGGTAATTATACAGTACTGTGCCACACATTTTAGGTGCTTTACATGTATTAATTCACATATTCTTCACGATAATTCTATGTGATGAGGCCATAATGCTATACCCATTTGGTAGGTGAGAACTGAAGCCATTTGTTTCAAGTCACATAGTCAATGAGTGGCGGAGACTGGATTTCAGCCCAGCCAACCTGCCTCCATACTTTACACTCTTCAACCACCACTCAGAACTTCCAAGCCACATGCTCATGGTCCCACTGCTTCTAATTGAAGAGGCTGAAACTGCTCTAGCGTTCTGGACTTCAAGTAAAGTGCTCCTGTGTGCACATGTGGAATGACTGTTATCTGAATCACTCAGTGCCTATACGAGAAGGATGGGACAAACCAGTGCCTTATCAGTAGCTGTCTCCTAGAAGCTTCACAGAAATCGTCTATCAGCATAAGACTCAGTATCCATTAAACACACACACACACACACACACACACACACACACACACACACACAGACCTCTTTGCCGTGTTGACCTAAAAACAGAGAGGGAGACTCTCTAAAAGAAAATATTTAATTGGAAATGAGTATTGCAATGGGAATACACATAATATGGTAAAATATGTTTTATTACTAGGAAGACAGGAAACGTGATGTCCGCAACTGATTTGGGATAATTATCCTTGGCTACAAGGGTCAATAAGAAGAATGGTGCCAGTCCAAAGGTGGATAAGCAGTTGCTGGGCAGATGTTCTGGCAGAAGTATTTTCATGTGTGTTAAGGCGGCAATAGTCTTCATGCAAAGCTGTGGTTTTTGCAAAGAGTCTTTTGTGATAGTTCTTATAATCAGCTGTTTTGCACATGGGACCTCTCCCTTCATGGCTTTCTCCAGTTCTGTTTGTCAGAGTTTTTAACACAAATGATTCAATTTTGATTCTAACAACATTCCCAGTAGAATCGTGCCCCTCAATTTTGTCTTTTCTTTAGGGTCTCTGCCAAAGATAGAGCGATCAGTGGAGTACATGGCCAGACTTGGCAGTGAGCTTCTCCAGGCAGGTAGCACCCTACAGAGCATGGCTCCTTATATCACAGGGACTGGGATTTGAATCCCACTCTGTTACCCACAGTTTTGCTCCTCTAATAATTTCCCAAACTTGTTGAGCCTCCATTGCCTCCTCTGTAAATGAAGTTCGTAAGAGCTATCTTCCACGGACACTGGTGGCTGCATGTGGAAGCACACACAAAGTGTTCATCTCTTTCCCAGTATCATCAAGCCAGCTCAGTCTTGTGGGCAGAAACTACAGAAGAATCAGAGCATTGACTCAAAGATAAAAGATCACACTAATTGCATCTTCCTAAGCAATTCACCAGCACTTGCTGCAAGCTTTGGAGGCTTTGAGCTTCATCACCCGTTTTGAATTTACAATATCAGTGTAATGTAGCTCTGTTTTTTCAAGATAATTCTTTTATCTATCCAATTATTTGGGAGACTTTTATCTCTAACACTCTTAGTTGCTTTAAGCTTGTTGTAATAATCTATTTACTTCCTAACAACTAATCTATAGCCTACTGTTAAAAACAAATCTATCAGTTCAGCATTTTAAAGAGCACATTGCAGCCACAACATTTTATCAGGGACTCATTCACAAAAAAAGAGGATATCAGGAGGTTCTAGTTGGGTGAATCATCCTGAAAAAGTAAGAGTGCATGTCGTAGAGCAAGAACTCCATTACTCTTATGGAATTAAAATAGAAATACTTAATGACTTTTTCAGTCATCCAATTCAGAATCTTGAAAGTATAAACTTGTATGGGAATTTTCTTTATACAATATCAGACTGCGTTTTCTAAATCCTTTTATAATTTGCCTTCCTTTAGTCTTTTTTACACTCAAGTCCTGACTCAGTAATATTCCAAGATAAGTGGTTCTTTCATTCTGAACCTGCCTCTGCCTAGCTACCCTCCCTGTTGTCTCACAAGCACACACATTTTGCTCTTTCCTTCTTCCTCCAGCAAATGGCAACAGAGGAAACAATTAACAGCTGATTGCAATATTAGCTCTCTCATAAGAAGCATTTCTGGAGAAGACAAGATGCAGGCATTGCACACGGGAACACTCCTAGCCCTACAGTGTCAGTGTGGAAACTTTAAAGTTCATTGAGTTTTAAGTTTCTCTGGTCCAATGCATTAGAAAAAATAAGATGTAAGTTGTGGATAGCAGACATCATGAATCCATTGTTAGGTATTATTTGTCATGTTGCAGATTGGGCTCCTGGGAAGGCAGATCTTGAGATAAAGACAGCACAGAGGACTTTTGTTAGGGAGAGCTCTTGGTATCAACACCTGTGGAAACAAAGGGAAGAAATGGAAGCAGAACTGGTCTGGGGAGAAGCTGGAATGTGATACAGACTCAGCAAAAACGTCAGCAAACCCCGCAGGGAGCTTTGAAGCTGGCAGGGTCTCACGCCTGAAGTTAGGGAAAAGGTCTAGGTCTTCAGAGCCTCATCCTGAAGTGTCATTGGAGGTAAACAATCCCAGAATGGGACATGAGATTGAGAAAGGTGGCTCTTCACTGGTGTTTGCTGGCAAACTTAGGTAAGTCTCCCACATCTGAAGAAGATCGTAGCAGTGCATCAGAGTGTCCACTATCTGCCATTAAGAGGCTTTTCTTGGGATCTAAAATCTCTTACGTTAGGGGGTTGGTAACCTATAGTCAGGGTCAGGTTGTTAAAATGACTCTGTTTTACTGATAACAACAGTTCTTCTTTATCCTCCTCTTTTTTCCCATTTGTGATAATGACCTGTTTCAGATTCTGCCTCCTGAAACGTCTCCTCTATTTCAATTGTAGTTTTAGAGTCAAATCATGTCTTGTATTTCCAAATTCTACTAAGAACTCTCATACTCATCCCCATCATTCTTAGCTATATAAGTTGAAAGTAAAGAGAAAACCTTGAATAATTTATAGGTGTTGCGTGAGCTACATTGGCCAGACTTGAAAGGCTTAATTAATAGTTCTATTAACTATGTATGGGAATATATTAGCGTACTGGGAGTGAAGAGAAAAGAATTTCTTTTACTTTTTTTTTTTTAGAGTTGCTGGGAGTGCGGTTAACTCTATCAAAAAAATCCTCTAAATTCAAGGTGTTTCTTACTTATTCCTCATCAAGTTTCCTACCTTCCAACTTTCCTCAGACATACAATTTGTTGTAATATTCCTTCTGACGATGTCATGCCATACCAAAGGTGACAAGGTAATGGAAAAAGAATCATAATGGCAAGATCTGAGTGATTATGGGAAGTAGAAAACAAATGATTAAATAAGCTTTGGGGTAAGTCTTATTAACTCTCTCTGGGCAGAAACTGTACGTCCCAGTATATCGAATGGGGGTTCAAGTGAATTTATTTGGATATCAACGATAGATAGACCTTAGAATCCTGGAAGAATTGGGGCTTCTAGCTAAAGTAAAACAAGTATATACATATAATCTACCTTACTTTATGAGTGAAAGTAAGGGGAGGTAGAGGTAGAGTCTGGATATTCTGTTCTCCCCAAGGTTTTGTGAAAGGAATTAGAAATCCACAAATTCACACACACACACAAAACTTGTTCCAGGGTGTTATGAAAATCGATATTGCTTTTAGCAATATAAATTAGGTGCTTGGGTGAGGTTGTGGCATTTCTCTCAAGCAAAGAAAAGTAAAGGGAGATCAAGCCTGAAATTGTACCAGAAGAAGGAAATGCACCCTAAGTCTCTAATGAGGAACATTTAGCTCATCCAATTCCAGCTGGAAAACACTTCCATTTTTATCATTATTTTATTATTTTTACCTTTAGTTCTTAATTGATTCATTTTTTAAAGAAAAATGTGTCCCAGGCTGGTAGACAGAAAAACAACAACATCCTCTTTGGTGCTCCAGCTTCGGTTCAGTCTTCTGAGCCTACCCTAATGAATCTGATGTTGAACATTGTTTTCATTAAACACTTTGACCCCTCACCAAGCCCCAGGAAGAGATGTTGATCTCAAAGCCCACTTTCTGCCCAGAGTGAGATGTTGACAGCCCCAAAAATGGAAGTCCCCTGGTAATCCAGCTTTTCAGTCTTATAATTACCATAATCTGTCTTTCATTTAAATGTGGTACAACTACACATTATACTGTAAAAACAAGTGATTATCTGCTTCTTCATTGTGATTTGGTTATTGTTAAGTACAGAATTTCTTTCTTGTACAAAGCTCTAGCAGAAAGCCCCTTCTCACTACCACTCTGCTGGGTGTGATTACTCCTCTCGTGCTCCACAGGAGCCTCTTAACTTTATAACTACCCAGCCTCCAAGCCCTAGTGTGGAATACCAGGGTGTTAACAACATGGCTTCACTGGATATTTACTTTTTTAAACACTATGCTATGCTCTTTACATCACGATTGCTTTTTTTTTTTTTTTAGACTGAGTCTCACTCTGTCGCTCAGGTTGGAGTGCAGTGGTGCAAAATCTCTCCTCACTGCAAACTTCACCACCCAGGTTCAAGCCATTCTCATGCCTCAGCCTCCTGAGTAGCTGGGATTACAGGCATCTACCATCATGCCTGGCTAATTTTTGTATTTTTAGTAGAGACGGAATTTCACCATGTTGGCCAGGCTGGCCTCAAACTCCTGACCTCAAGTGATCATCCTGCCCCGGCCTCCCAAACTGCTGGGATTACAGACATGAGTCACTGCACTGGGCCATGATTGCATTTAATCCTTAACAAAATTCTGTAAGGTAGATTTTATATTTGTTTATATTTTATCACAAAGAGAACCAAGGCTAAAAGATGTGATATAATTTGCCTAATCACATAACAAGTAAATGACAGTGTGAAGATTTGAATCCAAACATGGCTCACTAGTGTACAGCCCTGACCCTTATGCCGGATGGCATCCTTAGAGAACAGAGTGCTATGGGCTGCACAAAAGTGGGTAACTTTAACTCACTCTGAGCAGCTCTACCATCTAGCAGGACTACGTGAACCAATATGGTATAGAAGTTAAGAGCATTCAAAGAGCCTATCTGCAACTTTCTTCTTTATGACTTTGAAAAAAAAATTTTTTTAAATAAATTCAGGTGTTTTTTGAAAAATCTAGTAATAATGCACAACTTTGACTGCAGTAGGATTGGGAGCTAATACATAAAAAGCCCACTGTACCTGGCAAAGAGCAAGTACTCAGAAATTGATAGTTACAACTACCACAGCCGAGAGTTGCCTAGGAGATGTAACAGCTAAATCATATGGTAAGGATGGGACCTGGCATTAACAAAAGGGCATTAGGTAAAATACTAAGGAAATCTGAAAATGCAGTATTTAGTTAGTAATACCATATCAACATTGTTCCATTAATTGTGACAAACATACCATGCTAATGTAAGGCATTAATAATGGAAAAACTTTGGTCGAAGGTATATGGAAATTCTCTATACTATTTTTGCAACAGTTCTAAATATCTAAAAACATTCTGACATAGTTATTAGAAAAATAATAGTTACTAATTCTGAATTGATGCTCGAGTTTCTGTTATTTTAAGAAATCAGAATCACAGTTCTCTTTGACAATCACCACAGATAACATGCAGACAGGTATCACAAACGATACATGGAAATTAAACCCATATTAGAAGAGCAAATGGGTAAAAAATTATAGGTCCACTGAAAAGCAATTACACATTGGCTTGAATTTCAGACAAGCTGTGGGAACAAAGCCTGTGTCAAAATTTTAAGGCACAAGAAACCAAAGTGCTAATGTTTTCAACCGCATTTCTTATTTTAAATGTAGATGATATCATTTTAACAAATAAAATTTCTCTGCTACAGTTCATTTGGAAACACACACACATATATATACATATGCTTATATCTACTTTTTTTTTTTGAGATGGAGTCTTACTCTGTCCCCCAGGAGTGCAATGGCGTAATCTCGGCTCACTGCAAATTCTGCCTCCCAGGTTCAAGCAATTTTCCTATCTAAGCCTCCCAAGTAGCTGGGATTACAGTTGCACGCCACCACACCTGACTTATTTTTGAATTTTTAGTAGAGATGTATTTTGTATTTTTAGTAGAGTAGAGGTTTCACCTCATTGGTCAGCCTCGTCTCGAACTCCTGACCTCAGGTGATCCACCTGTCTTGGTCTCCCAACGTGCTGGGATTACAGGCTGAGCCAATGCACCCAGCCCATATCTACTTTCTAGTCAAACATAAACACCTTCATGTAAAGAAGGTCTAGTTGCTTGGCAGGGAACTTTAGGGCACATTCAACATATGCATACCAACTGGTAAACTAAAGCATATTTTTTAGTATTCATGTTACATATTTGCCTGAAATCTTTATGAAAAACTGAATTTGTTTTTCATAAATTAATATAGAATTGTTGATAATGTGTAGGTTCATAGCAGTGGCCCCTCTGTTCAGAAGAGTTATCCCTTAGTGACAGGCAGACACCAAGCCTTTAATACTGGCAAGTGGTTAATCAGTGCAAAGAACACAGAATGTTCATGATCACTGAGAGGAGTGATCATTATGTGCATCAAAAATACCACTGTGCACACATGTCTGTACACACACATCACATACATGCATGCACATGCCTGTAAACACTCACCACACTTTACAAAAAGGTCCTAAGTCACTTGCAGATTGTTGCTAGACCCATTTGCACAGACTGAGAACTTAAAGTTACACAAAGTGCTTTCTCTAAAAGTAACCTTTAAACACTTGAGGGAAATGGTCTTACTTGCTTTTGAAGTAGAATGCTGCACAGAACATGCCCACGATGACAATTCCAAAGACGATACATGAAATGGACAGCACCTGCCTTTGATAAACTTCTTCACTCTCTGTGAATTTGAAAAACAAAATTAGAATGCATGCTAGCAGGGCACATTAACAACAATCTTCATCCATGCACTTCTGAGCTGGTCGGAGTCTTTCAAAGCCAACTTTCTTGTATCTGTCATAAATAGGAAAAAATGCTTAAATTACTGATTCAATTTCTTTGCAAAGTTCTATAGGATAACAGGTTGCTATTTTTTGTATCTGCATCGCTACATCAGAACTCATACTCAGATATTGCAATTACAAATTTTATTATCAAATACATTCTGTGACTTTAGGATTTACTGGGGACATAAGCTTGTGAAATTGTGGGAGGGCCCAAATTAATCAGCTAGAGAAACAAACTCATGTGCTTCTGAGCTTTCCTGTTCCAGTGATGCCTTCCAATTTAGCTTCTGTGGTGCGGATGCCCCAGTGTCTTCTGATTTTGATTAGGTTTTTGGCTGTCAGTCTCCCATTCATTCTACTATCATTATGATTGACATCAGTCATGAATCAAAAATCAATATGCATGTAAGTATTTTATTCACCCAGTCTCTGCCCTTCTCAATACCAATGATTTGGCACAGTAAAACTCAGTCTCTGTTACCAAGGCCATACCTTGTAGCTTGCCATCACAAAAACGACAACAATTAAAAAACAAACATTTCACTCTTTATCCACTACCACTTATACTCCTTGTTTCTTTCCTAAACTGTATCTACCTAAACAACTCCTCCATTTCATCAAGACTTTGTATCCACAGGACCCAGCAGTTTCTTTGTTAATTATCCTCCTCCTGTCTTCATCTTTCTATTTATATAGGACAATGACCATGGCCTAGGACTATAGTCATTTATTCTCTTGCAAATACTCTCATTTACTTTATCCTTTTTGTCTTCCCTTCTACCTATTTGTCAAAAAAAAAAAAAAAAAGCACACAAATACAAGAAACTGCCTTCTCCATACCTCTACCATGGGCAGCTCAGAATTGGGGAAGGAAACTGTACCAATGGGCAAATGGACACCGATAAACAACAGCAATCACAGAGCTTAAGGAGTCATCTAATAGTCACTAACAATCTCATCAGCCTGACTTCCCGTTTTCCTAATGATCATCCTTATCATCTCCACACTACTCACACCTCTGACTTCCCGTTTTCCTAATGATCATCCTTATCATCTCCACACTACTCACACCTCTGACACATCTTCCCCCCTCTCACTCTCAGACCTTCCATACATGTAATAAGGAAGAAAAAGCCAGTTTAGAAGAAATTTCCCACTTTCTAACACTTATACATCTAAAATGATACCAAATTAACTGCATCTGTATCCATTCTTTCTCTGTCTCATTAACATAGAACAATAGTTCTCAAATTGTAATGCACTGGAGTCACCTTGGAGTCTATTAAAAACAGACTGCACCGACTTTTTCACCCAGAGTTACTGATTTAGTAGATCTGGAGTGGGTACAGAATAGTTGCATTTCTGAAAGGTTCCCAGATGATTCTGATGCTACTGGTCTGGGAAACATACTTTCAGAACTATTGAGCAGACTAAGAGTTCTCAGAATATGAATCATTTATATAAAAATCACCCAGGGAGATATGTTTTTTCTTTGTTAATGCCAATTCTGGTATCCTTCTTGAACTTTCTAAATCAGGATTTTTTTTTCTTTTTTGGGGACGGAGTCTCGCTCTGTTGCCTAGGCTGGAGTGCTGTGGCATAATCTCACTTACTGCAACCTCTGCCTCCCGGATCCAAACGATCGTCCTGCCTCAGCCCCTCAAGTACCTAGGACTACAGGTACATGCATACCGCCATGCCAGGCTAATTTTTGTATTTTTAGTAGAGATGTGGTTTCACTATGTTGACCAGACTGGTATTGAACTCCTGACTTCAGGTGATCTGCCCACCTCAGCCTCTCAAAGTGTTGGGATTATAGGCGTGAACCACCAACCATGCCAGGATCTTTAGTAAAATTTTCATTATTTCTCATGCATACTAAAATTAGAACATTATTCAATTAGAGAAAGTGCTATTTTTTAAATTAAATAATAATTCCTTTGGCGTTCATTGTTTCCTAGCATCTCAGGGCCTTCTCATCACTGATAATTAAACAAAAACAATAGATTCAGATTCATTTTATGATGCCAGTATTATGATACCGAAGAAGACAAAGACCTAACAAAAAATTATAGATAAACAGCTCTCATTGTCATAGATGCAAAAAAATCTTAACACATTTTAGAAAATAAAATTTAACAACATATACAAGGTAGAATGCATCAGGACTAAGGTTGACACATGAAAATGCAAGGTTGTTTTAATATTTTAAAATTAATCAATGTGATTCACCATTTTAACATCTAAGCAAATAATCTAACTAAATCAGAGGCAAAAACATAGCAAAACTTAATATTCATTCTTGATCAATACTCTCAAAACCTAGAAATAGAAGGTACTTCCTCAACCTAATAAGGAGTAGCTATAAAAAATATATATATATATATATCTAACTTTGAAATACTGAATGTTTTTTCCCTAGGATCAGGAATAAAGCAAGAATATCCACTCTCATACCTTCTGATCAACATTGTACTGGAGGTTTAGCTAATGATACAAGAAAATGTAAAAATAAAAGTCATTCAGCTAGGGAAAGTAGAAGAAAACTTGTTTCTGCAAGCAACGTGACAATTTATGCAGAAAAGCTGATAGAATCTACAAAAGAGCTAATATACCTATTAAGTAAGCTTAGGAAAATTTCAGGATATAAGGTAATAAAAGAGAGATACAAAAACAAATGTACATCTATTTTATAGCAACAAAGAAAAATTGAAACAAAAATGTCATTTACAATAGCATCACAGTATATAAAATAAATAGAGATAAATTTAACAAAAGATACACAAGTCTTGTATATTGAAAAGTTTAAAAGAAGACCTAAATAAATCGATACATCATGTTTATGGATTAGAAGCCTTGATATTATTAAGATGTCAATTCTCCCCAAGATGATAGACAGATTGATTGCAATGCTATTAAAATCTCAGGAAGCATTTTTATTGTTGTTGTTGTCACAGAAATTGACAAGCCTATTCTAAATGTTTTATGGAGGAAATACTACAGATCTAGAGTAGCCGAAACAACTTTCTTGTACCAAGAGAACAAAGATGTGGGAACACACGACTTTATTCTAAGATTTCTTATACAGCTATAGTAATCAAGGCAATATGGTGTTGGCCTCACTATAGACAAATAAATAATTGAAACAGATAAAAGAGTCCAGAAATATAATATTCTAAACTTATGTGGCCAATTGGTTTTGAAAAGATGCCAACATAATTCAATGGTGAAAGAATAATTTTTAAAAATGACATTGTTTCAATAGTATGTATAGCCATATCCACAAAAATGAACCTGGATCCTAACCTCATACTCTATACATATATCCACTCAAAAAGGATGATAGATGTGAATGCAAATTTTAAACTACAAAATTAGAAGAAAACATAGGAAAAAGTCTTAGTGACAGGGATTTGGCAAAGATCATTTAACTAAAATACAAAAGCTACAAACTAGAAAATATTTCAAAATCAATAAAATGGACTTCATCGACATTAACATTTGCTCTTCAAAGACACCATTATGAAATTCAAAAGGAAAGATACAGTCTGAAAAAAATTTGAAAAATATATATTCCACAATGGACTTGTATCTTTAATTTATAGGAATGACTTTTCAATAATAAGAAAACCAACATAAATATGAGCAAAATATAGTTGAATAGAAACTTCCCCAGAGATATCTGGATGACAAATAAATACCTAAAAAGATATCCAATGTTGTTCATTATCATGAAATTACAAATTAAATTATAATGAATACATGGCACCCCCACTAGAATAGGTGAAATGAAAGATTCACCATACCAAATGTGAAAAGGATGTGAACAACCAGAACTCTCACATTCTTCTGATGGAAAGGTAAAATTACACAGCCACCTCCAATAATAGCTTCACAGAAAGTTAAAAATACACCTAACTTATGACCTAGCCATTCCATTACCCACGACTCTTGAAAGTTTAATTTCATCATGTACCCAAATGTTCACAGAAACTTTATTTTTCATAGCCCCCAAACTGGAAATAACCCGAGGATCCATCAACGGGTAAATGGATAATCAAAGTAGTATATTTCTATATAATGAAATAATCCTCAGCAATAAAAATAAATGAACTATTGGTATAAACTACAGTGTGAAAGAGTAACAGAATCAATATGCTGAGTGTAATAAATCAGACAACAAACAGGGCAAATGTTGTATAATTCCACTTATTCAAAATTCTAGACAATGGAAACTATAGTAACATAAAACATAGGTAGATACCTGGGGTCAGGAGCAGGGACTGGTAGGAGAGATTCCAAACTGATGTGAGGAAACTTTTGGGAGTTATAGACACGTTAATTGTCTCGATTACAGTGGTTTCACTGGTGAATACTTGTGTCAAAAATGTATCTAATTATACATTATGAACAAGTGGTTTATCTTATGTCAATTATAGTTGTAAAAATATTAATCCCAAGATACAAAGAATACAGAGAATATGCCAAGAATATGCAGAATGTGAAAGAATATAAAATAATATAACTTTTTATCTTTTACGTTTTTTTATTATTATACTCCCATAAACCACTCTCTATGTAGCAGGCAATATAAACTTTTTAATACATAAGTTAATCCTATATTTGTATGTATATGAATGCATGTGAATGTGTGTGTATTCTATTTTTAATGCATTATTGAGTGGCTATTTGACTTATAATACCTAAAACTCTTAGTATGGTCTTAAAGACCTGTCTGATATGACACTGCTCACCTATATCACCCACTCTCCTCTTTTTCTGTTACATCTATAATTTCACTCCTTAGCGTCTTGAAACATGCTGTTTGCTTTATTCTTTGGCTTGTCTTAAATGTTCACTCCACTTTTTTAAAATCTCAAATTAAATGTCACTA